ATGCGAAAACCGATGTTCTATCATGCCTGTAGGGTGGCTATGCTTTTCAGTGTCAATTTCAATCTGTATGAATTTTAACCTCGAACGTCAAAAAATAAATTCCCTAGCACACCAAGATAAAGGCATAGTGAAAATTCATGATTGTAAAATGTATCTAGCCTATTTACGCTACGGTGTTAAGTGGACTAAATAAGCTCTACTGGTCCATTCACATTCTATTTCTCCTTTTTCCACACTTACAAATGATAAACTTCTGAAAAGTGAAGTAATACTTAAAGAAACAATACATATAAATATCTTTGAGTATCATTATTATATAAGTATTATATAGGTATATGACATGGCAAATGGAATTTGATGTGTGGGTCGTGCACTGAAATTGAGAATGTCCCATAAAAAGTAGTGCTTATCCTCTTCTAAACGGATTCGTGTAACTACACCAGAAAGATGTCAACAAAGTAAAAATAAAGCTTGGTGATAATCAAAAACATTTTTGTTTGTGATTAAATCTCCCCTGCACCAATTTTCAAATATAATGCCGTATGATCAACAATTTTTTGCCATCTAACATCCTCATTCTGTAGTTAAGTGCATACCAGTTCCATGCTTGAAGCGCATCATGGAAGGGATTTGTCATTGATCGTAGAGATTTCCGTACTTCTCAACAACCTCTCTCACATCAACAATTTGGTTTTCTTATAGTAACGTCTAAACTCTGAGTCTAATCCGGTCGGAAGACCAAAAAGTAATTATATAATAAAAATACAGTTCGACAATGCGAATAAAAGTGGAGAAAGAGAAATGAAATATGACTCCATATAGATGGCATCCACAAAACAGCTGATGATGTGTAAACCCGTACTGTTCTTATTTTGTTGATGATAAAGACGGTGTTGCCATCCGTTTGCAGCCTATTAAATATCATTTTAATTCAATAAAGTTACGACTTAAACTTTACGTCAGAGAAGTTATTTTCAAAGCTAGCTGTAAGCAAGCTATTTAACTTTTACAGCCTTACGTGGAATATTGCACGATTTAGTTTAGTAACAAAAGACCAACGTCAGCTTGAAAGTGTTCTAACCACAAATTATTGCTTGTTTTTCCAATCGGTGGTCTACTTGACATGATTGCCAGTTGTCTGTGCAGCCTGGCCTCAAGACCATATGTTTAATACTTATTTCTTATGACTTTTGAACCTCACCGCTAAAAGCAAAGAAGTGAACAGTCATCAGTACGCGATGATGTAACAAAGAGTTTGCATCGGCTTTCTAACTATAATGCAGAAGACTCCCAAGATCAAGGGAGATGGTATTCAGAATATGTAACGTTTTACCCATAAAAAATTTCAGCAATGAGCAAGAGTCCCTGAAACTTGCAAAAACGGAGTCTGAACGACTTTAATTTTTTCCATTTCTGGCTAACAGTCTGGAGTTTGGATGGTTTTTCTTTTTCATTTTTTACTTGTAGCTGCGCAGGTCCCTGGATCGATATGAAAAAAATACAAAGCACTGTCATTTTTAATAGTAGCCTTGTGACAAAAATTTCATCCGAATTCGTGCAGACTATCCAGGTTATGGAGGGGCCAAGAACTAGAGACAGACAGACCGACAGGCTAACGGAAATGGGTGACCCTTTCATGGTGTACATGTCATGTAACACCTAAAAATATAATATCGTCATTTCGAAATTTTCTACATAACCAATTTCCATATTTTAGAAATTATTCCCAAGCGGTCCACAACTAGCATGTCAGTTGACCAAAATTGTCAAAAAGCGACGCTTATCTTAACCTGTCAAACTGAATTGGTTAAGTTCTCTTCTCAAGTTTCAGAAATTTGTTGCTAGAGGATGCCTTATACTCCCGTAGGAAGTAAAGACGGAGCAAGAAGATGTCTTTTACTTTTTGATGTATATCGCACTACCTCAGTATTTAGGCTCTGTCTATCTTTCTAGTCTCCTCCTGTAGGTACCTCTACCTCATAGAAGCGCCCCTGATGCTGATTCCCCTTTCACAACTGTACTGACGCAATCGAAGGTGCGAGAAATTGTGATTCCCGGATGGAAATTGACAATAACGCCATACAAGAGTTTCCCCATACAACTTTTAAAATGCTTCAATTCCGTATTTCTGCCCATTCCCATTTGATTTCGCGTGTAGCGGAAAACTCGAACAATTGATCTCTGAAAAATTCAGTTTGCAGCGTTGACACAGAGAAAATTTCTGTCACTGTTTTTAGCAGACATGCAGCTAATTGAAAAATTGGTACATAGACTGAAAACCAAATACCAGTAATGTCGTAATGTTTACGAGAGAGAAACGCAAGAAGCGTGCAACATTTGACCAGGGTGCCATTTATCCAACAAATTTCGCTTTCTTAGATTTCCTCTACATATGTATTTTTTAATGTAACTCGAACATGGAAGGGTAGCCATCATTTTCAAATAATGAATTCTGATTATTTGTGTTTATGAGGTTACTAATTATTTTTTAGCTCAGAATCATTTTGCTCTGAAAATCTCTTAAATATGGAAAGTCTGAATTTTCAGGAAAGGGAAAATATTCCTCATAGTGTTTGCGGGGTTTCTGTAAAATTCATGAAAACATTGAGTTACGATGATTATGACCACGAACTTTCAACCAAATGGGAAAGCATGTTCGCCGTGCATATTGGTTAAGCTCTTATTTCATGAATAACTGATGCCTACATCGTAATGATACTGGGTAACGATATGTAACTTTCTCTGGAAATATGAAATATGTTGAGGATGTTCTAAAGTTTCTCCTGTGTATGTGGTATAAAATAACTGTTTCGTCGAATCAAACCACATATACGTTCATTGTACTTGAAAAAAGTCACCGTTGGTACTGAAACGTCGTACAATAAAGAAGAATTTTAAACATAAGTGTTATTTGATTAGGCCAGTCGAACATGGGGATTTATCAGTCTGAAACCACGGAATGAGTTTCAGATGTTACGTTAATATGTTCATGTGCTACTAGGTATTTGTATGTATTTGAACAGAGAAGGAGAATTTCCAGTTATGCCCTCTGGTTCGTTATAACAAAAAAAAAACAGAATTTCTATATTCATTGTGCTTCGTTAGCAATACAAACGATAAATATTTTACGGAACGAGGCTTTATGTCATTCATTTATCTTGTTTAAAATGATTCGTTGTGTTGCAGCTCATACAATGTATTTCATTTATTAACAATCAAACGTGTAATAAAGTACACTGTGTCCAAAATCTAGGCCACTGGTTACGTTATCCCTTAAATCCAGTACGATGGTTGTAAGACCAAATAATTGAACACTTTTTAATTTGTTGTGCAAAGTTCCACAATTAAATACAAGATGTTCTGTGACGTGTCTCATTTTCTTCAGCAGGACATATAATATACCAAGCAGAAGTACCCACAAGCCCCAAATTTAGTAGCATATATTCCGTATAGAGTGTTTTTCATAAAGACCCTCCCAACTACTTATTTTTTGAATGAGCCTGGTTAACAAGCTGGGATTCTGGTTGGTGGAGTTAAATCATAAATCCAACGATCAGATCATTTAACGATTATTATATCGATATTCTTGGAGAGATCTATCCGAATATGCAATAAAGTATGAAGCAGTACATTAAAAAAGTGATAAGCGTTCCAACGTACAAACATGCTCAAACTTAACAGTCCGCCAGTCCGCCACTTTGAAAGATTGTATATATTCTGGACTTATCAGTTATTGATGGGACCTTGAAGCAGAGGTACCCAGTCATTATTCTGTTTGAAAGATTCATGTTATTTTTAGGTTAAAATATACGATAGTTGTTTCAAAAATGAATTTTCTAAAGCTGTCACTTTCCGCGCGTGATGTTAGTCAAAATCTGACAACACCGTCGTGTTTGCCAGTTCCCCCACCATTGATCCCGATCCCAACAAGAAGCCCCTATCTGCGACGCTCAGGAGGAAGTTGTAGCTAAGATTGAGAGTCCTGCTCGAATACCCGCGAATCACGACCCTGGAACTGGCTGTTGAAGTTCTTGGGGCCTCTGAAGCTTCACTTGACAGGATTTTGAAAGAAAAGTTAAACTACAAGGTGTGTGCGCGGTGTGTGCTTTCAGAAATCTACAAACAGCAACACGCCCACTGTGCTCGGGAGTTTCTGAGTGAATACGAAGAGAATAGGAAAGTTTTCTTGGACTCCGTTGTTACGGGGGATGAAACGTGGTGTCATTACGTCACTCCAGAGACAAAACAGACACACACGACAGACTCGTCCAAGCCAAAGAAGTTTAAGCAGACGCTGTCAGCAGGAAAAATCATGGCAATGGCGTTCTGGGACCGGCATGGTTCGAGCTTATTCCTAGAGGGACCACAATAAACTCGACATTTTATTGCAAGTTCTTGAAAAAGTTCGTATCGTCGTATAGGAGAAACTCACCAAACAAGTAAGACTGAACCACGACAATGTGCTTCCGCTTGTATCGCTACAAACGAAGGACTTAAACGAGCGATTTGACTGAAAAGTCATTGCCCATACCACTGACAGGACTGACATAGCACCCAGCGATTTCCATCTGTTTCTGAAATTGAAGTAGCACCCCGTCAATGATTCGAGATGGACGAGTATTTGCAAGAAGCAGTTAGAAGTTTCTGAACGGGCAGGCGGCGGACTTATTTGAAGAGGCAGTGAAAAATATCTTAAAGATCAACGTTTCCAATGATGAATTCGTTTTATACAAATAAATAATCTGACAAGCTTATGTTTGAAATTGCCGTCGTATATTGATAAATCAACTTCATCTCCTCAAATCTCTCCCAGCTTGCTTTATCTATTAAAAAAATTGTAGATTTATTTTTTTTGACAAACAGTGCATAGATGATACAATGATAGAGGAGTTATTTCTTCTTGGAGATATGTTTGGAGGTAGTAGGCGTACTTTTATGTAGGGTCCGTCAAAGCCAAAGCCGAAGCCGAAGCCTACTTCAAAGGAAGTTGACAATATTCGCAGGTTTCCTCAGCTAAGCAGTTTATTTTTCTTTCTGCAAGCAAATAAACATAAAGAATGGAGACGTATCCTTGACCCACAAAGATTTTCGGGCGTAAACAATCGTTCCGTCTGGAACGTTCGGGTGAACGAAACATCGGAAGAAATTATTTTACCAATAAACGGAGTATTAACTGCCATAGTATTTCTTTGATCAATTGTAGTCTGGCCACTGCTTCGCGGACTCTTATTCAGTGGATGTTCTCGGACTATGAGATGCGGATGACATCAAGAACAAATGCGGTAATAGTTATAGTTTTTGACAGCAGACCCTCTAGAGATCCAATTTGCTGACTCTCTCATCCACTATGACACTACTCTACACTACTCCTCGTATTGCTTAACAAGAATAATCTATGGATACCTTTCTCACCGTTCCTTCTCTTAGTATTGCTATTAAGTCTCATTTAAGTAAGAGTAACTTGAACCTTAACTCTGTAGAAATCAAGCACCCATACTAGTCAAATATGGTAAACCAGACTAGTCCAGCGGCAAAAAGGTCCGCCCTAGACCGGACTCCTTCCTTATAGCAGACCCATGATCTCAACGGCTCTGGATTCTTTGAGACTCCATAATTAGCAAGCATAAGCAGCAATGAAGCTAGGTTGTTTGTTCTGGTCTGCAAGGTATTTAAAAGTTAATGAATATTGAAAGGTTATATGACCGTATGGAGAGTCATTCAATTGTTATTTCAGGTCACAATTTTTGTTGAGGCTGAAAATAGATTACATTCCATGTTTAATTGTCGTAAATCAAAAATCAGTAACAAGTGATTCACTGCTTTTATACTATACAAAAGCAAATTAACTGCCTTTTTGTAATCTATTTACAGTATTTTTTCAAAGGAAAAACGCAGTAATGCAGAATTTTATTTTATTTCAATATAGCTCATTCATATTGAAATTTACATAAATGGCACAAACGTACATCTTTTCAACATCTAATACTTCAATTTAGTAATCATATTTTCACATTTAATATTTACGTATAGTAGAAATATTTATAAAAATGAACTAAAAAGACTATGTTTCTTTATGTTAAGTTAAACAAAGGATACTCTTAAAATCATTCTTTTAGTATGTCACTATTTATACCGATAAATACGTATTCGTATATAATACAATTATGACAAAAAAAAACTAAATAAATACACATCATAATAGGTTATAAACGGTAAAAAGGCAGTACTTATTTATTTATATATTTATTTATTTATTTCCAACAGGTGAAACCCAATTACAGGAAATGCTGAAAAAAATAACAATTAAAGAGACATGGTTCTTGGACTTAAATCTATAGTATCACACATTCTGAATAAAATTGGATGATCTATAGCAGTTAATAATGGATGCACAACTGTCACTGTAAATATCACACGATTCAGTAACACTGTTCATGACGCAGCACATGAGATTAATTGGCGATTTTGTCATAACATTTGTACGGCCAGCTTGACAATAGAATGCCGTTTGTTGTCGACTCCCTAGCCTTGGAACGCGGAAACATATTTTTTCAAGTAAATTTTGACAGTCAATTTTATTGTGAATGAGGCCATACAAAAACGACAAAGCAAATATGTTTCGTCTTGTTGACAGTGAATCCAAATTGAAAAGCTCTAATAGGGCACTATGGTCACAACCTCTTTCTGGATAAGAACCTGTGCATTTAAGGTGAAAATACTTTAAAGCTTTACGTTGAATGGCCTCAAGGGTCAAGACAGAATTTTGGTATATAGGAGACCAGATCAGAGTCGCATACTCCAATTTGCTCCTGACAAAGTAAAAAATAAAGTCATTAATGTATCAACATTGGAGAAACCCTTCCAGTTTCTGATACAGAAACCAAGTAGTCGAGTGGCAGCCGACGAGATATTGAGTATATGCTCAGTAAACGTTAGCTTGGTATCAAAAGTGACTCCAAGGTTATTATAAGAGGTGCATCTGTCTATAACCTGACCATTGATGTTATAATTATCATAAATTAAATAGTTAACCTTTCTTGTATAAGTCATAACTTTACATTTCAAAACATTAAGACTGAGACTGTTTCGTGAACACCATTACGAAACTAGAGCTAAGTCATCTTGCAACATGACGCAATCCTCGACTGTCTTGCAGATTTTAAGGTCATCAGCGAAAAACAAATGGAAACACTTCAGTTCAAAAGACAAGTCATTAATAAATATCAAAAACAATAATGGACCTAGATTTGACTCTTGAGGTACCCCGGACGTGGCCCGATAGTAACTCGACCCATGACCACCATATTCGACGAATAACCTTCTATCCCTCAAATATGAATTCATGAGCGACATAATTGCATCAGATATTCCCACTGTTTTAAGCTTATCCAGAAGTGCATAATGATCAACTTGATCAAACGCCTTTTGAATATCTGTGTAGATGACATCAACTTGTCCCTGACCGTCCAGTACTTCAGAAATGTACTGAGTAATCAGAGCCAAGTTGGTGACTGTTGATCTGCCTCTTATAAACCCATACTGATTAATAGAGACTGCACCCCTGACCGAGCAGTAAACCGTTTCATAAGCGATGATCTCAAACAACTTGCTGAAATTGCACAGGATTGCTATTTGGCGATAGTTGGAAATATCAGAGATATCTCCACTTTTATGAATAGGACATATTTTAGAGGTCTTCCAGATATTTGGATGTCTCTGATTTTAGAATTAGGTTGAATATGGAAGCCAGCGGTTTCGCTTGTATATGAATGCAATCTTTAACGAAAAAACTTGGAATACCATCACATCCAGACGTCATTTTGTTCTTTAATCTTTTCGAAGCCCTAATTACGTTTTCTTCACTTATATTTTTTAAAGAAATGATATCGGTAGAATTACTTGTTGGAGGAGATAACCCTAGTAGACTAGACGGGATAAAAACTGTTGAAAAGAAGGTAGCAAAACTGTCCACTATATCCTGAGGCGTATCGCAGACATTGCCGTTAAGCGTCATCCTTGGGGCGATTCTAGATTGCTGTTTTTTGATCTGGGCAAATGACCAATTTGCTAGGATCATTGACAATGGCATCCTCAACCGATTGGACGTAAGCGGAGTAGGCAACACTGATCTGGTACTTAATGAGCTTCCTAAAATTACTGAACTGATCATAAGAAAACTTAGTACCGTCACCTTTCCAGTTCCTTCTTGCTATGTCCTTCTTCTTGATATTAAGTATAATTTCACGTGTGAACCATGGGGGATACGAAAACATTTTATTTTTACATTTAGGGACATGGACCTTATTGATAACTGAATACAAGGCGGTACAAGCGACATCAACATTAACTGCACTGATCACCTCCGTCCAATTAACATCTTGCAAGGCTGTGTACATTTCAGGAAAGTTAGCTTTGCGAAATTTAAACCGTGGAGAATTAGCAAATGGGAATTTTGTTGGAGATCCGGATGTAATGAATTCCATGATCAGTACAGAATGATGAACGTCCTCTTTAACAGAAGGTGTATTATCTCTGAGGACTTCTATTTCGATATTTCCTAAAATTAAATCCAGTATTCGACCCTTTATATTTGGAATATTATTAAAAGTTAAATCTAAAAACGAAATAAAGTTGCTCATCAATTGAGACTTCTGATCATTAACGTCACTGTTGAATGATGCGACATTAAAGTCACCAGCAACAATTATTTTACAATTACTGAATGCATTGTTAAATACTTCCAAAGCTTCAAGGTACTGACCAAACATGTCCAAATTAATTGTATCATACAGAGAATAAAAGCAGTGTAGTTTGAAAACTACTGCTTTTGAATTGATCCACTGCTTAGGAAATGTGATTAATATCTATGAAAGCGAAAAAATATCTATTTTTGTAATTGAAATCATAAAAGAAATGCACTAACGTCAAACTTTAATCAAGGAAGTAAATGTACTACTTTTTACTTAATTACAGCGGCATAGATTTCTTATAAAAATGTTCAACTATAATCTATAAAGCTGTAAAATAATTGATTACAAGATAAATTCCACACACTTTTAAAACATACTGCATCTATTTTTCATACCGTTTTAAATGAATAACAGAAATGAGGGTTCGATCTAAGGCACGTTTTTCGCCAAAGAATTTATGAAATACAATATATCTTTCTACCTGTCTACTGACATGCGGTATGGATTCCAACACCACTCATCTACTAGTGTCCTAGTAACTTACATTATATGCTTGGGAGTTTGAGGTATTCCCTGGCTTTGAAACATCCAATTTGACAGTTGAGCTTAATATATTCATACTCGAATGAGCAAACAACTAAGCAAAGCAGAAACGAGATATTTGCTACTTATAATTTCAACCAGTATGTGACACTAGTGTACTTGATTACATAACTCCCAGCTATATATCAACATGTACTTTAATAGTGAACAAACAGAACAAGTGATTCAAACAATGGAAATTCATCTGAATAGGGAAGACTTTCCCCTCCTCGCGAAACAAGTTTGTCATTAGGATCTTGTGTTTGTCTAGTTCATTATTCACCTTTCCCGCAAGACGAGGCGGTCCTATTCAGGAACTAGAGCCTAGAGCCGCGCCACCACTATGATCGATATAGAAGCTGCTGCTTGCACCAACGAATTTTTAGAACCTAGATCAACACATAGTTGTATATTAGGAACAAGATATCCGAAAGCTAAAGAAGAAATCTAAAGTTAAGATATAAAGGTCAAGAGTGCGTTCATAAAAGCGAATATACGCGCGAGCTCTACCTTAGATGTGTAGTGTAAGAAATCAGTCACGTAAGGTGAAACTGTTGTTTTCACACATTTGTGTCCAAGTTAGGAGCATATAACTTCGTAAAGTTATGGTACCTTTCTCCTACGACAAAAAATAATTTTACACAGCAACTTAGTAGAAACTGAGATTTGAAAAGTTTTGAAAACATGTTTGTATACGCCTTAAAATGATGCATCAAAATATGTTTGACGCTTACAGTGGCCCTAAGATTTGTTAGCCAATACTAAAGGAAAGGAAACAATAGCAGATAGATGTAGGAAGTAGATCCTTAAATACTGAGTGTCTCTCTGAACAAATACTGTGAGAAAAATATTTGGTACCAAAAGTATAAATGCTTCAAAAAAAATGATTCTTTGTAAGTGGTAAATTCCCTGAACATGGCAACAAACATCATGAAATAAGCATAGAGAACTACTGCTGTCAGAGCGAATAAACTAAAACAGTATAGTCAGCAAAATGGCTGAAATACTAAAGACTCGTTAATGGAGAAATCATAAAACAAGTTGCCATTTTACCTTCTAGCCATTATCAAACTAAAAATACGGAGAAATGTAAATACCAAGGATGGCAGAGTTGAGCTATCCATCACGATTTAGACGCATTAACAGAAAACAAATTAAGACTGCTGGCGCCTCCTCGCGATTCCATTATATGCTTCTGATACCCCTTTGCTGTGAGCAATCTGTTGTGAAACCCGATACGTGAAATATTTTTAAAAGCGCAACAGCTTTTATAATATAATAGAAATACATATCAATTCGGAATTTTTGAGAGCGTTTTCCGATGCTATCAGTTATTATTTGCCCAAACGCTTCATATTACTCGAGAAACTGCAACACA